ATTCTAGCGTCATCTAGGATTCATTTCGAATGTTCACATCACAAAAACTCGTTTGTTGATATCAGCAAGATGTAAGATATTTGTTTGTAGCAGGTAGAATTAAATGTTGATGTTTCTAGACTAAATGCTTCATTTTGAGTACAAAATTATTTGCATTGTGAACAAAATTAAATAAATCAAACAAAATTTAATTATTTTCTCTTATTTTCATCTAAATTTATTGTTTATTATTATTATTTTAGTAATACAATAAAATTGGATAGTTTTATTTTATTAATTAATTTAATCGCTATTAATTTATAATTTTATTTTAAGCCTGATAAAAAACAACAAAATAAAACATCAAAAAACTAAAAAAAATTAAAAAATTCAAATTTTTACAGATAATTTAGGGCAAAACGTTATTTTATGTTATTGTTAAAGTCTTAACGATTCCATATCTTAAAAATCACAGTTTAGTAAACCAAACATCGTTTTATTATAAAAAAGTGATTAATAAAATAAATTACAGTACACGTAGCGCCACCTATGTTTCATTTATGTAAGTTGTATATAAATTCGTTATTTATAAAAAACTATAATAAAAACTAAAAAAATTAGTAAAATTAACGCATAAATTTAAAAATTAATTAAAAAATATAATTCCCTTTATTAAATCAGTGTATCTTTAACAACATTTCTACGAAAGCAAAAATTGAATTTAAATTTAAACGATCATGTCTTTATCGTCATTATCTTAACTATAAGATAAAAGTGCAACTATCATTGCAAATTGCAGGTTAATATCGCACAATTAAACGCCCAAATATCCACATAATATTTAAAAACTTTTTAATTAACTAGTGGATTTTGAACGGGAATTTAGTGTGAAGCAATTTTTTTAAAGTGAAATTTTTTCTTAAAGAAATATTTGCTTAAAACACGCAAGGAGTCTCGAACACACGAATCTAAGCATCCTCCATCGTCAAACTATGTCCTAGACCCTTATACGTGCGATAAATCATTGGTAACTAATTAATTTAAACTATTATTTATACTTAATTCAATTAAAAATAGTTTAAGTAAAGAAAACATTGCTTTAAGTAAGTAAAACAAAAATAAAATCACCACAATAAAAAAATAATCACTTTATAAGTAATTTTATGTTTAAACATATATTAAATAACTTAAGTCAATTACTTAAGTCAATTAAGATAACTTAAGTCAATGTTAACACTTAAGAAACAATCGCATAAACATTTTCCATCCTCAAAAGTGAAAAAACGAGTATTGCGATCAGTTACAATCAGTTGAATGTAAACGTATGCAGTTCAAATTTATTTCATTGATACGTAACGACAGTGATTAGGAAACAGCGCGAAAACAAAAGCGCACGCACAAAAAAAGTCTTCACAGATAAGAGAGAAAAAACACAGTGCCTCAATGTGGTCTCGAATACCCTATGTCGCTTCCCAAAGAAAGCGATCACATATTGGGTACGTCGGGACCACATCAGGTAATTATCTAATTAGGAGCTTCGGGCTTATCACTGCAAATCACCAAACTTGAAAATTGAACTCAAATTTACGCAAAAATTACTAAATTCATGAAAATCTAATTAGAATTCATTAATGTAGGTACGCGATTCGCTCTACAAAATGAGCTAGGTTCGTGGTTTCTACCGTTAAAATTGCGTTTCTTCCGCGGCGATAAGCAAACCCCTATCTAATACCATATAAAAAACACGATGCATGCAAATTTTATAAATCTTAAATATTTTAAATTAATTTGAAAAAAATTAACATATAACGCAAGTGACTCACTTGTGATGGTAATGTGCAATGAATATCACTTGGTAACGACACTTTTCTGCAGATTTTGTGAATTTTCAGCAATTTTTTAGCGGAGCTGCACGTTGCAGCGAACGTTCGAACCCGACTGATACTCTTGAGTGTGCGATGCGCGAGATTAAGCAGTGTTGCCCTACCTCTCCTGCCCCCGCATGCGCGCGAAGAACATCAGGTGATATGACGTAGGCATTGATAAACCCGAATTCGAAAAGACGTAAACAATCCAAAATACACACACTCAATTCAATGTATTCTTTATCACATTCTTTCTTCTTTGTTACCTACTTTAATTCGTTGCAAATATAAGAATGCTTATGAAATTGGAATTAAAAGTATAACAGTTTTATTCACAGTATTCGCGACGCGGATGCCGTTAAAGGTAGAATTAAAAACAAGTAACATGCTTCAAAAATTAAATCAATTCAAAATTCAAACCTGCGATAAGGTGAATGACACTTAGTCATCCATGTGTCGACGAAGTCCACGAGTCCAATTAGAAAACCAAACCAGCATCGGAAGTAAAGGGGTTGCCATCCACACCGTAACAATTGATACACTGTATAAAAATAAACCAAACATTTTTATAATTTATTATAAAGCCGGCTTACTACTATTGTTTGAATGTGTAAAATCTTGAAATCAAAATTTCAATACCTCGCGATGTTCTTTTATTTTACTTGCACTGCACTATTGGCACTATTCTGCCACAAAGTGAACACCACAAAAATGTGCAAAGTAAACAAACAACTGATAGGATGAACGCGCACGCCGCGCATGCTCTGCGAAGGTGAAGCAGCGGTCATCTCTTCACGTACGCGCGATGATTCTGGTGCTTGCAGAACCAAATTACTCGAATTACAAAAACTAATAAATTTAAGAAAAATCTAATTAGAATTCATTAATGTACGCGATTCGCTCTTCAAAATGAGATAGGTTCGTTGTTCCTAACGTTAAAATTGTGTTTCTTTCGCGGCGATAAGCAAACCCCTATCTGACACCATATAAAAAAAACTGCAGCATGCAATTTTTTAAAAATCTTAAATATTATACGTTTATTCAATGAAATATGAATATATAATGCAAGAGACTTACTTGTGATGGTAAGGTGCAATGATTTTCACTTGGTAACTCGACTTTTCTGCAGATTTTGTGAATTTTCAGCGATCGCTTAACGGAGCTGCACGCTGCAACAAACGTTGTCACTCGACTGATACTCTTGCGTGTGCGCTGCGCAAGATTGCGATTAAGCAGTATTACCCTACCTCTCACCCCGCACCCTGATATGCGCGCGAAGACGATCAGGTGATGTGAAGTACGCATTGATAAACCCGAAATCGACAAGGTGTAAACAATACAAAATACACATATTGAATTTAATGTATTCTTTCTCACTTTCTAACATTTTAAAAACACGAATCATGTTATTGTGAGTGTTTATTAAATTGAAATTAAATATTTTACATTTAATTTAAAGAAAATAATTTATATAAATTATAAATTAATGAAAAATTTGAGTAAACATTCAAAAATCAAAATAAATAATAAAAATTTTATTTTTTAATTTTATTCAACATTTTAAATGAAATCACCTGTCTAGCAAATATTTGGATGAAATGCTGCTCAGCTGTTTGTTGTAACAAATAAAACTAAAATGATTTAAAAAGCGAACAGCTGTATTTCATGAAATAAAACCAAAATCATAAAAAATGTCAATTTTACAGCAATTTTTTAATATTCTTGCGCCGCGCGACAATCAAATCATTTTCAATGCCGCTTTTACCGTCTGAATTCACACGGACATGGATGTACACGCACTACCACTATCAAACCACCTCACTGATGTAAATAAACTTGTGCTGTGACATCACCTGATTTATTTTATTGCAAATAGTGCATTCTAGCGTCATCTAGGATTCATTTCGAATGTTCACATCACAAAAACTTGTTTGTTGATATCAGAATGATGGAAGATATTTGTTTGTAGCAGGTAGAATTAAATGTTGATGTTTTAGAATAAATGCTGGGTTTTGAGTACAATGTTATTTATATTGTGCACAAATTTAAATAAATCAAATCGAAATTTTATTCTTTTCTCTTATTTATATTCTAATTCATTGTTTATTATTATTATTTTAGTAATATAACAAAATTGAATTGTTTTATTTTATTAATTAATTTATTCGCTATTAATTTATCATTATATTTTAAGTCTGATAAAAAACAACAAAATAAAACAACAAAAACAATAAAATTACAAAATTCAAATTTTTAGAGATAATTTAGGGCAATACGTTATATTATGTTATTATTAAAGTCTCAACGTTTCCATATCTTCAAAATCACAATTTTGTAAACCAAATATCGTTTTATTATAAATAAAATAAATTACAGTACACGTAGCGCAACCTATGTTTCATTTATGTAAGTTGTAAATAAATTCGTTATTTATAAAAACTATAATAAAACTAAAAAATTAATAAAATTAACGCATAAATTAAACAAATAATAAAAAATATAATTCCCTTTATTAAATCAGTGTTTATTTAACAACATTTCTAAAAAAACAGAAATTCAATTTAAATTTAGACGCTTATGTCTTTATCGTCATTATCTTAACTATAAGATAAAAGTGCAACTATCATTGCAAATTGCAGGTTAATATCGCACAATTTAAAGCCCAAATATCCACATAATATTAAAAACTTCCTAATTAACTAGTGGATTTTGAACGGAATTTAGTGTGAAGCAATTTTTTAAAGTGAAATTTTTTTAAAGAAATATTTACTTAAAACACGCAAGGAGTCTCGAACACACGAATCTAAGCATCCTCCATCGTCAAACTATGTCCTAGACCCTTATACGTGCGATAAGACATTTGCAACTAATTAATTTAAACTATTATTTATACATAATTCAATTAAAAATAGTTTAAGTAAAGAAAGCATTGCTTTAAGTAAGTAAAACAAAAATAAAGTCATCACAATAAAAGAATAACACTTTATAAGTAATTTTATGCTTAAACATAAATTAAATAACTTAAGTCAATTACTTAAGTCAATTAAGATAACTTAAGTCAATGTTAACACTTAAGAAACAATTCCATAAACTTTTTCTCTTCTCAAAAGTGAAAAACGAGTAAGCGATCAGTTACAATCAGTTGAGCGTAAACTGCATACGTTCAAATTTATTTCATTGATACGTAACGACAGTGATTAGGAAACTGCGCGAAAACAAAAGCGCACGCACAAAAAAAGTCTTCACAGATAAGAGAGAAAAAACACAGTGCCTCAATGTGGTCTCGAATACCCTATGCCGCTTCCCAAAGAAAGCGATCACATATTGGGTACGTCGGGACCACATCAGGTAATTATCTAATTAGGAGCTTCGGGCTTATCACTGCAAATCACCAAACTTGAAAATTGAACTCATCGATGACGCATGCACTTAACCAAGTCAAAAGATAAGACGCGTAGACTTCATACACTTATAGAAAACACGTTATCAACTCGTCAATATATAGATATTGCAATTTGAGTGTAAAATTATCAGTTTCACAAATAAAAGTGATAATATTTTGAAGATTTTAAGTTTAGTGCATTTAAAGGTGTATTTTTGGTTGCATATAGTAAAAGAAGTTTTGAATTAAATTTCATCAAGTTTGTATGTAAATCTATTGATCAAACAATTGAGTATTAATCAAAATAGTGTCTTGACAGGATGGCGAAAGCAAAACAAGTTCAATTACAGATTGATATCACCTCCGATGAGGAATGGGAGAAGTTTCTTCAGCGAGATGGTCTTCTCGTGGTGGATATCTACTCGGAATGGTGTGGTCCATGCTTGGCAATGCAGGGAAACCTCAAGAAGATAAAACTTGAGAGTGGGGGAGATTTTCTCCATCTTGGAATGGTCCCAAAATAAATTTAAATTAATTTTACATCCAAAATAAATTTTGTAATGTTTTTTACAGGCTAGATCAAATAATGTGGAAGCCCTGAAACGTTTTCGTAATAAATCTGAACCAACATGGATGTTTATCGCAAAAGGTCAACAAGTAGGTTTACTTTTTGGGTCCAACGCTCCCGAATTACAAAGAATGATTATGGATGAAATGGTTAAAGAAAAAGAATGTTTGGAAGGAATACGCACACGTCCCCAACGTTTACCAGAAGAAAACTCCGAGCAGGAGCAAGCAACATTTGAAAAACACGCCAAAATTGAACAGGACCGTGAAAGGGTTAAAGTGGAGAAAGCCCAGAGACAACTCAAAGACAGACGAATTGCTCAGGCTAAAAATATATTGGATACAATGGCGCATCTTGGATTAATCATCATTTTTCCGCATGCTGTTAAAAAAAGCAGTGATATTTTGGATGAATTTTTACCTCATACGGGTATAGCTATCTCCAAAAAGAAAGACCTCAACTTACAGAGGAAGCAATTGAAGATATAGAATTCTATCACCTGATAAGATGCCTGAAGCATGCAAACATCACCTTTGTAGTGAACGTGCTCTAGCATTGATGTTAACAGTTGATCAAGAGATGAATCCTGGTCCTTTGGATGAAACTATACTGTAATTTGCTTATGGAGCAACCAAAATTGCTCCAGGGAACCAGGGACACCTGCTTATTCATTGTTAAAATCCCAGGTAACTAAAAGATCCAGGAAGAAGCTGAAGCCATAAAACAACAACAAATGCAAGCCATGTTGGAGTTAGATGAAGGTATTGATCAACTAGAAGAGGAGGAAGTAGAGGTAGAAGAAGAAGCTGAAGAGGAAGAAGCGGAAGAAGAACAGGTGGCTGAGGTAATAGATCCCAATGAGTTTAGACGGGTTAGTTCCACCTTTAGTCCAACGGCTATTACAATTGAGATTGAAGATTTGGTTGAAGAGGAAGTTGTGGAGGAAGAAGTAGACGAGGCGGATCTTTGGGGTCTATGGGCACCTGCGAATGACTTGGTTAAGTCTACAGCGTTGAAATATTGTTTCCCCTTGATTACATCTGCGCTGATATTGCCGGAACCGGAACCAGCGCCTGCGCATCTTGCGATTGCGTTTGAAGTGTTTAAGAAGCATGATATCTATAAGGTTATGGATGAGTATGAGAGTGAGATTCTGGCGTTTGGGTTTTTCACTTCGGATCAACCTGATGAGGCTAAACTTATTGCTAAGACGAAGAAACAGTATGAGAAACACTTCACAGGGACTAATTAGTAAGTAAAATTTGATGGTATGTCAAGGGTTCAGCTCCTAAATATGTTTTTAAATTATTTGGTAGTAGGGAGTCTCTTTTACCATTAGCAGGGAGTAGAGGGGTTTAACCTTCATTTTTAGGTGGGGGTAGAAATCCTTCACTTTCTCTACTATCTAAAATCTTCTAAAATCTTCCTAAATATATTTTTAAATGGAGGTGGGGCATCTCCTGCACCTTCAACAAGGAGTAGAGGTGTTTAACCTTCACTTTTGGGTGGGGGTAGAGGCCTTTTATCTTTCTTACCTTATATATCAATACCTAAAGATCTTAAAACCTTCTAAATACCACCTAAACATATTTTTTTTATTTTCCAGTGGAGAAAAATTGGTCCTCAAAGTAGCAAAAAGAAAATCAGACCCTATTCTAGCCTTCGCCCAACTAGGACCAACCTACATGTCCTCAAACGTTGATACAGGAGAACGTGACTGTTCGCATTTCTTCCCGGAAAACTACGAGGACGAAGACGCGGAAATAGCTCCCCTTCAACCAAGACACACTACTTTTATTGAAGATACAATTGGTGAAGACCAAGAAGAGATGATATTTGAAGGTGTGTTACACGGTGAAGAAGAAGAAGATTTAGGAGACCTAGGAGGTGAAGTGGAAGACATACCTCCAATGGAAATGAGTGAATTACCCCAAGTTGAAGACGAAGAAGAAGGTGAAGAAGGTGAAGGTCAAGATAAAGCAACCTCACCCCCACCACCATCAATGAGTACAAGTAAAATGAAAGTCAAGTCAACCACAAGTAAATTAAACGCAAAGATTACAGCTTCAAGGATGCAATACACACAAGAAGCTCCTCCACCACCTCCTGTTATACCAGAAGGTGGAGAAGCTACTGAAGGTGAAGAAGGAGAAGGACCTCCACCCCCACCACCTGAAGGTGAAACTACTGAAGCACCCCCACCTCCTCCTCCACCTGAAGGTGAAGGAGATGCCCCACCTCCTCCTCCACCTACTGAAGAAGCTCCTGCACCTGAAGAACCACCTCCGGAAGCACCCCCACCTGAAGAACCTAAAAATGAAGAAGAAGAGGAAGGAGATTAATCAAATATATTCACTGTTACATAATAAACAGTTATTTACACTTTTTTGTTCACCTTGAGCGTAATTTTGGGTAAGAATTAGAACAATAGGTCATGCATTGAGCACACAATGAGTTTGGTACGAGTACACGAGGTGCCATGTTGAATTACTCTAGTCGCCTAGTGTCGACCTTGCTCCGTATTTCTTCTTTGAGGTAATTCGAGCCAACCTCCGACCTTGGTCAGCGAATTGAAATCTGAATCGAATTTATACTAGTTTTAAGTTTCAAGTGTGAACCTAGAGTGTGGGCAATAATTGCAACATGTGTGCAACCACCGATTGCAATCGGCACTCAATATTTCACTTAATTAATGCGTTAATGAGAAAAAGTTGTATGTGACGAATTAGAATTATGTCGTTGTTCTAGTTTTGGGATAGATTGGATAATTGCAACACTAGATTTATGTTAATTTGTCATTTTATTAATCAAAACTATTAAAGATTTTGATCTAAAGAGTAAATTTTTATTAAAAACCAAAGTTTTGAAGTTATAGGCAACCAGCTTTACGTTTCATTTGGTCAAAGTGTTGATTAAGTTATAATTTGTAAGTAAAAGAAGGAATTTTGCTTTAAAACATTAAAATCTTGTATTTTTTGTTTTTTATTCATTAAAACAAAAAGAATTTCTCTTTCAGTGATAGTTTTGAAGTTGTAGGCAACCAGCATTACATTTCATTTGTTCAAAGTGTTGACTAAGTCATAAATTGCATATAAAAGAAGGAATTTTTAATAAAAAGTTAATATTTATATTTTTACCACAAAAAAACTTTAAAACTTGTGTAATTAAAGTAATTAATATTACTTAATATTAAATTACGCACATCAGCAATAGTAAACATTTCAAAATAAACATTTGCTTTGTTTTTGTTGTATTTTTTAATTTTTAAATTAATGCAATGTGCTAATAAGTAAAAATCAAATTAGTAAATTTCAAGTGAACGTAAACACTTCACGTGTCGAAGTCGGTTACAAAAGTTATTAAAAACGTTAATTTATTGCCGCTGACGTGCGTGTTTCTTGCTCGCTTCTCAATATTGTTCATTCATTTTTATTTTTGGCCGTTTCCATCCATAAAAATCGATTTAAAAAGACTTAAAACATAATCGGCGAGTATTACATGAATTTTGCGCATATAATTCTCATAATATTTCATTACGAATGCAAATAATTAAGATAACTCATATCACTGGCAACCATTGACGTTGGTGTTTGGTAGTTGTTAAAATTCATTATTAAACCTTCAAAACACAAGCGATTTTGCACTGTGATTTCAAATGTATCGATGGTTTTGCACAGTTTCTGCGCGTGCACATTTGTTTTGCTAATTTCGGTGCCGAAATTTACAATTTCAAACAATCTGTTGAACAATCACACATTTTTTTATTAGTCTGTAGCTAAGTATAGGTTTTTTCAACTTTAGTTTGAAAGTTTAATTTTTTTGTGGATAATCTATAGTTTTTAATGAATTATTTCGACTGTGTGTGATTGTAATATGTGATTATGTCCGTGAAAATTATTCACGGCACGTTTCACGGCCAATAAAACATCAAAAGCGCACGCATACATTAAAACTCAGTTGTTGATGATCAAGACAAAGAGAATGACATTTGTATTTTGACACTCACCCACCCAGGTTGTTAATTTATTCCGATGTTCAAAGGTTGAAAGTGTCGAAATCACTTTTGGAACATATTTACGTATTCATCTTCAGTGTATATGTCATTCAACTTAATTTTATACATTTGACAACTTATAATAAATTTTAAATCAATTTTTCGTTGATTTTCCAAGAAAATATAAAATTATTTACTGATTAAAACAAAAATGGTGTTTCTACCACCACTAGTTTAGAAGATATAGGCAACCAACATTACATTTTGTCAGTTTAGAGTTAATTATTAGTATTTTTATTAGTTTTTCGGTAATTTACTGAGAAAAATAAAATAATTTATTGATTGAAACAATAATGTAGCTTTACTGGTTCTGAAGTTATAGGCAACCAATATTGCATTTTCTTACTTTAAAGTGTAGATTAGGTTATAAATGACAAATAAACATAATACTTAAAAAAACAACTCGCTACCTCACAGCACAAACATGTTTATCGGTTTTCAGTCAATATAATTACAAACCTGCATTTATTCAACGAATACACACAACCAAAGTCTTGTCAAGCACGAGCAGCGATTGAAAATCGCGAATTGTAAATGTTTACGTCGTGTGCGTTTTCTTATTCAATTAGTAGGTGCATTATTAATAGATTTGCATAATGAAGCATGTGCATCATCAAAACTACGCCGTAAAACGCAAAAAAATAATCTTCCACAACGCATTCAGTAAATGTGATTTAAATAATTTCACTTTTAATAAATTGACATTTAATCCTTTCCGGTAGTCTAACATTGTTTCAAACCGAAGGCAATTCCAGTCAAAAATTTTCAATGTCAGCATCAGTGTTTTTTTCTCTTCTCATTTGCTTTGCTTAATTTTTTTCTTCATGCATCGTTAAGTAACTACAACTCAGTGAGTCATTAAAATTTAGCTTAAAATGCTACAAGTTTCCTTCCACGCACCTTTTCTTCCGGAACGGTCAGTTGTTGAGGACTTGACGAAATAACTGCAAATGGAAAAGCAAATCGCAATAAATTTGAGATAAACAGCTTGTTTATAGAGTATCGACACTTGAACAAGCCGGAAAAACCTTGAATTATAATTAATCTAAAGATTTTGTTTAGATTTGCTTAGAGCAGTTAATGTTTTAGCTAATATTGACTGTAATTTTGTCAAAAATAAATTGTATTTGCACAGATTACATAGAATACCAAACTTTACATATAGGCAACCAACATAGCACTAATACTAGGGTAAGACTAAACAGGTTTATCTGGTTTTCAGACAATAGATTTGGAAACGTGATAGTAGCGAAGTTGTAGAAGTTTTTATTCGTAAATTGTAAAACTTACACATAGGCAACCAGTATTACACCAGCACAAGCACTCAAACTAACTGTTTAATCAGGTTTTCCGATAATATAATTACAAATATGCATTTATTCTTTGAATAAAGATAATTAAACACTTGTCAAGCACGAATATCAAGTAAAAATGATATATTTGCATATTAACCATATTTCTATCAAAGTTATTGAAGATTTAGACATAGGCAACCAAAATTACACCTACATTAACTCAGGCTTTCAGTCAAATAATTAAAAACTCGCATTTATTCCACGAATAAAGAATTAAAACACAAGTTTCAACCCAAAAGTCTTATATTTCTTTAGTATAAGTAGAATACTGAACTTTATCCACGAAATAAAAGATGACACGAAAGTTACGCAACGCGACTAATAAAACAATAAAAAAACGGCGCGCTCCAAAGTGCAAACTAACAACTAACAAATAACAAATAAAAATTACCATACAGATAAAAAAATGCAAATAATAGCCAATCAAACGTCTCATTGTTAACAATCACACATGCATCTATCATTTATAACAATTATCACTTTTTGTTTCGTGCATTGTGCGAGCGTTCGACGTTCGACGTTAATTGTCCGATTGCGATTACTTTCGCAATACTCCGGCACTTCGTAACTGCGTTACGTGTTGCAAAACGAACACAATAAATGATTTCGTCGTCGGCGAAATTAATTCGCGTTCACTACGACAACGAATCGGTCTGTGACGGATTCCATTGCGGTCGTTTTGTGGTCTGTCATTACCATTACCATTAGCAATAATTAACATTGACCGTCGAGCGATTAAGCGGCGCAGCAACAATATAATAACATTAGCATCGGCATCGATATGCATTTCGATGCATTGTAATGCATTAATTGTGCCCTGTCCATCGCAGCAAGTTGAAAATTAATATTAACAATGCAGCGGCATTAAAAATAGACGCGATGTTTGAACGTTGTAACTTTGTAGCGTTGTAAATGTTGCAAAGTAAAAGGTGATTTGACATAATGGATGATTGTTTTGTACGTGTGTAGGTGTATAAGTACTTGAACGTGGACTTTAATCGAGCATTAAATGCGACGAGTCGCTTCCCGGCTTCTAGCGGTTTAATTATTATTCATATTATTCGTTGAAAACAGCGGCGTAACTCAGCTGTTTAAGATCGCAGAGGTTTGAATGTTGGGTCGTTAAAAAGGAAATTTACGATTGTTTTAACGGAGCTAAGGTATAAAAGTGCAGGTATTGTAGTTTTGACGTGGTTGTGGAAAAAGTAAACATCGAAAATTGACAAACGCGGCGATAAATTTGGTAAAAATCAAGATAACTCAAAAACTAAAAGAGATGGAGCAGCCATTTTTGTTTTGAATGATAGATCTTATCAAAGACTATGAATCAAATCATAAATATATTATGTTATAAATATGGTTTGTAAATAATTTGATATTAAAAATGGTAAAATTTTTTTTTTCGTTTTTTGACGATATAAAAATAATAATAACTCAAAAACTAAAAGAGATACAGACGCCATTTTTGTTTTAAAATATAGATCTTATCAAAGACAATAAAATAAACCATAAAAATAATATAATATTACTGTCCGTAGTTGGTAATTTGATAAAATTTAAAGAATTGCAAAAAACATTTAAAATTTTTTTTTCACAAAATTAAATTGTTTATAACTCCAAAACTATTGCAGATAGAAAGTTGATTGTTTTACCAATGAATAACTGTATAAATCAATAATAATATGCCGTGTAATTAAATCAAAATATTATTAGCAATTATCCGTAATTAAATAAAAACTTTAAAAAACACAATTTTTTCGATTATCGATTTTCATGGCCGCCGAATGTCTGAGTTGACTTTTATCGCCATATTCGATTAGCACCGCCAATGTCGCTTTACGTGAACAAATAAGTTTGTATAAGCAACGTCGACGCCAGCACGAAACACACGCAAAACTTTTTAACACTTGCCAGTACCGGTTTTTTCGTTTACTTTTTGATTTTTTACTACTTATTGACACTAGACATTCTCAAAACTACAATAGTTTTAAATCGCAATGTATTGCGACACTGCAACACAAGTTTTACTACCAGCCGTGTACATAAATGCGACTTAAGTGTTAAATAAAGAAAAATTATCAATCGACTGCGAATTAATTTATCAGATAGATCAAGATATATCAAGTTTCGATTATCGTCAAGCAGAATTATCAAAGTAGTGTAAATAAATTGTCAAAATGTCAAAAATTAGAGGTCATTCATGAATACCAGACGCCATCTTGTATGACTTAACTTGAAATGCGTGACTAAGCAGCTTTGCGTCTCGATTCTTTTTTGCAATGTCAAGAAATATGAAAATAAAAAGATTGAAACCTGTTGATGGCCGATGACTTGGAAATAAAAAATGTAATAAGTGTGTAGTCGATGTAGACTGAGGTACGGAGTAGGTAAAGGTGATTAACAACAAATACGGAGTCATTATCGGGCGACGGTCACTGGACACTGAAAAGTAAATCGATCTGAACTTGAAAATTGAAGGCAACTTAACAGTAAATGCATAAAAACGCAAAGAACTTAAAATAATACAAAATTGCGTATTTTAAGTGTGTTATAGTATATTAAGTATCACGTGCGCTAAGTGGCACTTTATCTACGATTAGCGATGTGCTGTTTAAAATATTTTTCTACTTTTACTTTATTTCAAGGTTAAGTTTTTGTATTTGAACTTTTTATTTTGAAACTTAGTAGGCAAATGCGCAGGCGCAAGCTCCACTCCGTGACTAAAGTACTTTAGTCACGACTTTAGCCATACGTGTTAAAAATACAACTTTTTGTGTCTAAAAACCGTGAAAAAACAAGTGTAAGTAGTAAAACCCACAAAAAACTTGAAATTAAACAAAGTGTGAGACTTAGATATAAATAATTGCGAATTTAAACTGTTTAAAATAGTTTTATAATTACCCACTACCCAAAACTGAATGCAAATAATTTCAAAATTGAGGTAAAAACCCAATGCCTAGTGATTTAAATTCTTAAATGCGTTTTTAAGACAAAAGACAATGCATAAACGAATATTTACCTTAAAGTAACCTAATCAGTGACAACTATTCCGCAAGAATTCAACCCGTTAAGAATGTTAAGCATTCGCACAAAAATTCCGCAAGGTAATAAAAATTCTCGGAAATGTTCCAGACCTGATATCGCCCTACTAATAATTCTAAATAATAATAAATAAATAAATAAAACTGAGTCATAAAAAGTTACGTAAAGTTGTATTTCGCGAGCGTAGGTGATTTTCCGTTTGGAAGTTTTCGCAGCGCGCGAAATTTCGATGCGTATATTCCTAATAGTGTTGGCGGAGTTCGACGTAGTCGTTTATAATCATTTACAAGTACAATTAGCGTGCGCGCGCGCACCGCCGGGACAATTATCGCTGTCGTTGTTATCGACAGACACCTTGACGAAGTTTTGCACCTTGCAAAAGCCACAAACATAATAAAAACAGTGAAACAATATAGAATATGGGGGGATTCACAGAACATAACCTATAATAACCTTAAAATATCAATTTGTTGTAAATTTTGTTGTAAATTATGTTTTTAAACGCGTAAATTTTAATAAAATGAAGAGTAATTAATTATTTTTTTGTTTCTTTGGCATATTTTGTGATAAATTCGTCAAAAATATTATAAATTTTAATTTATAGAATTTAAAAATGCTTATAATGCGGTTTGCGCCACCTAGGTGTGCATTATAGTACTAAACCTAAGTTAAAATCTCCATATCATCTTTCACCCCTATTTTTACACCTTTTAAGGAATATTTTTGGGACAAAAAGTAGCCTATCACCTTTTCTATCAAATAAACTATAAAACCACAAAGTTTAATCAAAATATCTTCAGTAGTTTTTGCGTGAAAGAGCAACAAACCTACAAAAACACAAATTTCCCCTCGTATTTCTAATATTACTTAGTTTACAAGCTTCCTCTCTTCTTTTAAATCAAATATAATCACATTGTACCGTTGTGTTGCACTCCTTTGTGCCTTGGAAAGCTCCGGACGTTGCAGTTCAACGAGCTTTGAGTCACGTAGACACAAGATGCCTCTTAATCACTACCTCATTCTAGGTATTCTAGGTTACACACAATATACACACAGGAAATCGCAATTGCCGAGATTATCATAGATCATCACTGACCTAGACAAGCATTTATATCCCATGTACCAACTATCAACATAAATAACTCAAATTAAATTTATTGCTAAAAAGTGTAATCAAACGAAGGTGAAGCACACTAACGCACAAATACGAGTTTTACGTGTTACGATAAAGAGGACTGCGTCATTTGACAGGTGTCGTAAAGTGTAAGTCGTAGTATGGATGCAAATGTTTTCTTTTAACGACCAATAATTAATTATTTACTCGGCAGTGAGTGCATAGTACAAAATTTGCGTTGTGTTTTGTGTTGTTCCTAGAAAAACCAACAATATTTACAATATTTACTCATCTATTACTCAGACAGTAACAATTCCAACGTAAAATTCTCTAAAAATTTAAGTTTTATAACAATTAGCTTAAGTTTTATTCTCATTTGAAGTCTTTTCATATTTACATCGATAAATCACAATTAATTTATATATAAATAAATAAACATCAAGAAGATTTTCTTCTTGTAAATCTTGTAAAATTAAAAAACAAGACTTTTTATTTGTTTAAGTTTTTGCACATGCAGAATCACTCGCGTTATTCCCCGCGCCGCTAGTGGCGTTTTTGTACAACTGAAACAATTCAGTTACTGAAAGTCTATGTATCGATAATCTCGATGATGATTGTGATGGTGTTATACACGCCGAGCTACTTTTTGTCGTGTGGATCGGCGTGGGCGTTGTGGCGATTGTCGATTTGTGCGTTTTGACAATCTCTTTGACTTTCTTCAACTGCTCGAGCGCTTCCTCGTAGGTCGGCAGGCCCGAGGCGATGGTGTAGCTCGGCAGGGTATCAAGGTCGGGTCGATATCCGCTGCCGGCTTCCAAATCTGCTGCCTGACGGGCTTCTATCACTGCAAATTTTAACCAAAAATTTAAAATTTCAGCAAAAAATATTTTTTTCTAATTTGCTTATCAATTTCGGCGTTTGACGCATAAAAAGTTATTTTTTAAATTTAAAATTTAATTTCTTACCGCTGCGTTTCCACTGTTGAAATTTATGATACAGTAGACATGAGCACATGCAGCATACGCAGCTGAGTACCATCAGGGTGAGCACAATACCCACCCAGACATCTGCCAAGAATTGTTCGTATTCCGGATCGGTGATCTCCGCAAACTCCGTGGCGATCAACACCGAGAAATTATTGTTGATCACCTGCGACAGCTTGCCACTTGTTAACGAATCGTTATCGCTGAGGATATTCATGTTTCGATACAAATAATACGTTGAATCACTACTTCCAAACACTAAGTCACCTTAAACGTTAGCTATACGCACTAATCAAAGGCAATAATACTAATTTTGCACACATTTGTTCACAACACAATTTCAACATAAATCCACACAATATATTTTTATATTAAATACACTTTTTTTTCTTTTTTATTCTTTTGTAACTTGTTGAACTTGAACTTGCGCGTTACACAAGTAGTGCGCGCGCGCGGTTTACTTAGCGTTACGGTACACCGCGTGCTAGATTCGCTGAGGTCTGCGCGTTGAATGCGTCAAACAAGTTACTACAACTCGGTAAACTCGTGAGCGGCTGATGATGACTGGTCGTGCTTCCACCACATGCTCGAACTTTACCTTCGGACACAGACTTTCTCTGTGGTAATGGGTAATATATCTTAGAGATGAGTAAACCAGTCGGACAATAAAACTACCGCACGTGTACGAAGCGGAACTTTGATGTATTGTCCGGTGCACTATCGTAAAGATGGAAAAAGGGATTTTTCCAAACTTTGCAGAAACTTGCAGTGTGTGTAGGCTTGGTGAAGAGCGGAGCGGATTTGCGTTGGGTGCGCGCCGCGCTCAGAATATAACGGCAACGGCAACTATTTACATATTTTAATAACCGACGTAAGTACACCCGAGTTCTACCTCTACCTGGCCTACCTCTCTGACGCGGAACCGATCAGTGCAATCAGCAACCAGCTACGAACGACAAACAGTAAATATTTCAATATTTCACAAATGTAGAAATACATAAAATAACATACCAGACAGAAATTATATTTCATGTTGTTGGAATCTGTTTAATCTTTTCTAAGCTGGTTTTAAACTTAATTACTCTACTAAAAATGCCGGAAAATATTTGCTGAAATCTAAATATGAATTCCGCTGTGCGATGTTGTATTCACTTGTGTTATGTTTAAATGATTTTCTAGTAACGAAACGTGCACCCAGGTCCGTCGTTTTATATGAATTATGTTATAATTAACAATCAACGCAAAATACACAATATATGCAGTTTAGTTAAAACATACTTACACCAACCTGATGGATCTTTTTTAATTATGAGAATCAACATGAGGGTGATATATATCCGATTAATTTAGTATCTGACACCAAATTCAACGCCGAGTGAAGAATGTTATCAAATCCACTATCACGTGACTGGTAATATACGTATAACAAACGTGATCAAAAACCGGCATTTCCGAACATTTAACTAATTACTATAGTCGCAAAGTACAAATAAATAGTCGATTGATCTTCGAGTATAACACAAATTTTGAATATTAGTCCGAATAAACGATATAAATCTCTTAAAACACGAATGGATTAACCAGCGACCGACACGAAACTGACTGCAATCCACCGATAGTGCATGCCGAAACGGCGTAAACAATGACGGGACAGTATATGATAAGAAAACAAGAGGTGCGCAAAGACGACGCGTCGAAGAAACGCGACCTTGTGCGTGAATTTGCAATATGCACATTACTTGTGATCTAAACTAAACTAGACTTCGCTGCATGCAGCAAGATGATGCGGCGCTGGAAGAGAGCGCGCGAGACAAAAACGTTTGTCGATAAATATAAAATAAGCCGTATAAGTCGATTTTATGATTTTAGTGCATCTAGTGCATCTATAAATGCGGCAGATACTAGTCCCACAATTTAGTCTATTATAATCAATAATTAATGTTTCTACGTGTTTACACTTCGGTATGCAGTACATATTGTCAATTAACATGTAGGGCATCTCTAAAAACTATAACATGGCCTAGAGATTCTCTATTAGCTAGGATTTAAAATGATTTAAAAGAAAAAAAATGCTAAAAGTGCTAAAAGTGACATTTTTCAATTTTTGACCATTTTCTTCAATTGTGAATATCTCGTAAACTAAAAGAGATAGAAAGGTCAAATCGAGATTCTTAATCTACGAAAATTCCTCGACAAGATAGGCTAGTTAAAATCGAAATCTAAGAGATGAAATTTTGAGTCCTAAGAAAAAATTGGCAAGGGGGTGCTTGATACTTCTTTTTTCGACGTGATTTTCTCGATAGCGAATATCTTCTAAACTAAAAGAGATAGCAACCAGCGGAAAGTAGATTATGAAAGATTGGATCATTCTCTATTAGCTAGGATTTAAAATTATTTAATTTTCAAAGGGTAAAAGGTCGAAAAAAAGCGACTAAAAAGTGCTAAAAGTGACATTCTTTCAATTTTTTGACCATTTTCTTCAATTCAGAATATCTGTAAACTAAAAGAGATAGAAAGGTCAAATCGTGGGATTCTTAACCTACGGAAAATGCCTCTGCCAGATAGGATAGGCTAGTTAAAATCGCAGCTTGGGTAAATGAAATTTGAAATTCTTACTAAAAAATTGCCAAGGGGGTGCTTGATACTTTTTTTCGACGATTTTCAATAGCTAATATCTTGTAAACTAAAAGAGATAGCAACCAGCGGAAAGTAGATTATGAAAGATTGAATAATTTTCTATCAGGATGGGGATTTAAAACTTCTTTAATATTTCAATGAGGAAAAGGTCGAAAAAATGCGACTAAAAGTGCTAAAAAGTGATATTTTTCTTTCAATTCTTGACAATTTTCTTCAAATGTGAATATTCCCTGTAAACTAAAAAAGATAGAGAAAGGTCAAATTCAAGATTCTTAACCTACAAAAACATGCTCTACAAGATAGGCTATTAGTTAAAAATCGAAATCTAAGAGATGAAAATCAGCTATACAATCATCAACGCACGGCGTCCTGAGCACGAATGACTTCTACCACTGCCCTTGTACGGTGCCCTGAATCAAGTCACTTCTACCGCTAACTTTATACGGTTCCCTGAACACGAGTCACTTCTACCGCTACCCTCGTACGGTGTCCTGAATCAAGTCACTTCTACCGCTAACTTCATACGGTGCCCTGAACACGAGTCACTTCTACCGCTACCCTCGTACGGTGCCCTGAATAAAGTCACTTCTACAGTTACGTTTAAATTACTTTTGATGGCAAAAATATATCATGAATTGTGTAAAAATAGCAATGAAGGTTTGTTTTAGAGGTATACTCATAGTTTTAGTTATATAATCAAATCTAGAAAGCGCTAAAGTGCAGTATGGATACTTTACATCACATTTCAGTGCTTTTACATCAAAAATGACATTTTTATCAATCAAATACAAAATTCTCCGTAAATAATAATTTCACAATGCCCCGAAATTCTGATAACATTATTCTGCCCGGAGTTACCTCCATAGGCACCCCCACAGACCGTAACAAAGTCACACCTGAGATGCGCGAAGCTTACGAGCAAGTACTCCGCGAAAAAGAAAAAATTCTCGCTGAAATTCAAGAAGTACAAGAAGAATTACGCATTGGCAGCATAAACAATGAAAAATTGCTAAAAGAAGAACAACGCGCACAAGAAAAATATGACAGAGAACAACCCACTGGAAAACTCAACAAAAAATCAATACAAATTGTCAACAATGCCAAACCCCTAACAAAAAATCCTGCAAAAGTGCATCCAGTTGCAATGACAATGATGGAAGAGAAAAATAAAGATACATTATCACCGCGGTCATCATTAACAATTGGTAGAAAATTATCGCCTATGAGAACTAAACCAAAATCACCAATGCGTACTCCTGCTGATAACGGTAAGACACCGACGAGCAACAATGCTAGACCTGGTCCAAAACCAATACCGCCGAAGATTATCAGTCGACGTTCCGACTCGGAGGAGTTTTTCCCACAGGTACGGGCTGCGTTTAACTATCCGAGAACACCGCCGCCTACTCCACGCATGTCGGGTGCCGGGAAGACCAATTATGATAATAATAATAATAACAACTATGGTAATAATTATAATAATAATAATTATAATTATAATAATACGGCAATTGATCGGAATGCTTACGCTAAAGTGGTGGAAGAAGTTGAGGAGTTATCGGATACTTCATTGTCGGTTCAGCATGATTTGCATATGGAAATTGCGGCGATGCATCTGGCGATTCAGAAACGGTGTTGTTTAGCCGCGGGATTTATTCTTTTACTTATTGTTTTATATATTTTTTATTAAATACTAACTGTGGCTGCAGGGGTATTCTCTATTATTTTATTAATATTTGTCAGAAGTTACAGCAACAGCAAAAAGTTGGATAGAAATTAGTTTCGGATAGTTTTGTCAGATGGCGCTGTTGTTGAAACTGCTGGCCGCCAGAAAAGGCTATTTTCGGACAATTGTGGTTATGTTAATCAAACTAAAAGTAAATATACATTATTTTAAAATGAAAACTTAATTAAGTATTCGGATTGAGCACATCAAAGTTGCAAACAAAAAATACAATAACTAGATTGGCTATTAATTAGCTAAAATTTAGCTATTCTATAAATAGCTAAATAACAGATAAAAATGACTGCAACTTTCCATCAAATAACAACATGTTTACCAATTAGCAACAAGTTCATCATTTAATAAATTTTAGTAAACACGTAATTTTCCACTAAAACACAACATTCGAGATAAACTAATACCGTAACTAATACTTTTATGACATTTGCGTAATAACACTCCCATGCAAATTATCTAGTAATCTTTCTAGTAAATTTTCAATTCCGGTGAAAATTTGAACAAAATAATCATAAAATAATAATCTTTCCAAGAGTAGAATCAGTTGATACTCCGTAAGCGTTAAATAAAATGTTAACGCAAACAATTAACAACAATGACGTTACAAATTGAACAAATCGGCGCGAATTAGAAACACCAACAAGGTACTACCGCGCACCATATTTAATTCCCACAATTTCCAAATACCTACGAAAATGATCACGTTCTTAACACATGTTCATAATAGTATATTAAGTATCAAGAGGGTAAACGCGTGTTTTAGTCACGAGATTGATTGATAGCAAGCATAGCAAGCGTAGCAAGCGTTTAATCAATCAAGTGTTTAACAACTTCTAACCACGTGATGCTTACGCTATTTTTTGACGTGATAACGTCTTTAAAATCGTTTTAGTTGGGTTACTGTTCAGAAACTTGTGTCGCGAGCCCTCACGAGGCCGATCGCAGGTATACCCCCCTCTCGTTATTCCGTGAAATCCACACGAGCGGAGTGTTGAAGCGCGCCGACTGCGATCAT